ATATATATTTAGAACTAAGTAGTATTTGTTTAATATATATATATATATATATATATATATATATATATATATATATATAAACCTTATCAAAATATAAGTGCCCATTTTCAAATTTAATATTTCTCAATATATTAGCTCAAAATAAACTTTTACAAGCTGTTTATCAATGCCCTTAAAAATATCAAACACATGATCTAAGTCATTCATAATTCATCTTTGGTCCAGAGAAAATAAAATCAACTTAATTTGTAGGCCTCTATTCATATCTTTTTTATATATATATATAAAATGAACTTCTTACATATTTTCTATAATGTAAATATTTTTCTTGTAATCAAAAGACTAAAAATGCAACTTATACTCTAAATGTGTCTTTCACCAAAGTCTTCTTCAAGATTGTAACTTCACTGCTCTTAACATATATGGTAAGTTTTCCCTACAAATCAACTTTGCTTTATTCCCCAAATATGCAGATAAAAGTTTGAGAGATTTGTCACTGATGACAACTTAGTATTTTCCTTTCTCCTCTTTACTCTCACACATCAAGATTATATGGCCCACACTTTTAATATAGAAGGGAGCTCATTCAATATCCCGTATGAAGAAAAGGATCTTAACATAGTAGCAGATAATTCACTCAAGCCATAAAGAAAGTGCTCTGTTGCTAGAAGTAATAATAATAAAATTTGAGGTTATGTTTTTGACTTGTTAATTATGAAACAAAAGAGGAAATTATCTCTCTATACAAATCACTTGGAATACTGTGCACAGTTTCAGTTTCCTTATCTAAATAGGTTGATTTTCAGGATGGTAGGGTTACCTTAAGGGGATAGGTGAGGGTCTTTTAACATATTTTCTCTTGATAAAATGAGGATAAATGGTGATCATATTGAAGTTTATACGATTATACAGGGGATCGACAGGATAAAGGCAGACTGTGTGTTTATTAAATTATAAATTATCAATTACTTGCAAGTTTTACTAAATCATGCATACATACAGCATGATTAATATCATTATATACAATTTCCCTCTAAGAAATAAGAAATATCCCAGTCACAATAATTTCTGAACAGCATATTTTATGCCTTTCATTAGGAAATAGCCTCTCACCATGTACATTTGATAGAGCAAACTACAAATAATTTTATGATATTTACCCCTCAATATTCCAACACTGAATTCCTTACTTGTTCACATTATAACACAGATTCATCTATATTTTAATTTTCACAAACTAACATTTCTATCTAAAGGCAAACATTGAAATAAATATTATTAAAGTAAAGAAGTCAACATTTGTGGGCAAATGCAATGTGTCTACCATACAATCCCAACATGGCAAATTGTGATACAAGAAAAAACATGAAAACCACAGAAAAATCAAAAACTGTCTATATCAATTCTTGGGATCTGCAAGAAGGTATCTTTGTACCAAATTCCATGTAAGTTAATTAGTTGACATACACATGAAGAATTAGTGAAAACCCTCAAACTGTGCTTTCCTTGCTGAAAAATTGAACAAAAGATACAGATTCTGAAACTGTCTACATTTCTATTAGGTACCTGTAAAAAAGCATCTTTGTACCAAATTTCCACATAAATTGGTCAAAATATGGCCAAGTAAGTAATTGGCCAAAAACCAAAAAATGCTTTTTTGAGCTCTAATCCTTCTAAAAAAAAAAGACTCAAAATGGGCAAATCCAACTTTTTTGCATGTTGGTGTGTTGGCAAATTGTCCCAATTTTCATCTTAATTGCTGTAATATGACTGTACAGAAGCCTAAATATACATTTTTGGGTTGACCTTTGACCCCATAAAATCCTTACAAAAACTTAAACCAAAAAAATGAAAAAGGTGTCCGGGAATATTGCAACCCTACCAAATTTCAAGTCAATCTGCTGAGAAATGAAAGAATGGCAATCAATTGAAAAGTGTTTGGAAGAAGAAAGAAAAAAACAGTCACAATTACTTGTATCCATAGTCTGGTGCCACAAGTTTTTAACTAACTGTATAAATTATAATTATTACCTACCAGTCTCCAAATAATAAACTAATATTAAAAGTTAATATTATTAATACAATAATAAGCCTTTCTAATAAAACTTTAAAATTATTTAATTATAATTTATAGTTAATACTACTATTACTAATAGTAATAATAATAATATTGTTGCTGATACAGTGGTACCACTACTATTTATACTACTGTCAGTACTGGAAACAATAGTGTAATTTATAAACTCTACTAGTGCTAACACTTGTAACTGTAATACTAGTAGTAGTAATATTACTGTTAGTACTAACACTGTAACGACTCATACTCATAGAGTCGCACAGATTTTTGACTTTTTGTTTCAAGGTTTAATTTATTATTCTCCTTTTATTTTGATATATGAACAAATTTTCAAAAAACTCTCAGAGAAGAATATTACTGCAACTCATCTTAAAAAATAAAGCCTACTTTTTTGGACAATCTTGTGCCTTAGGAGGAATTTCTTCAATAATTTCAACATCACAATCCATCCCTTCAACATCGACATCGGCCATTTTCTTGCTTTTTCCGGTATTCATTTTACGCCGCCTTTATATTAAAAAATAATAAGAAAAAAAGATCTTATCAGTATCAAATCTTAAACAAGAGCATCGAATGACAAAGTTCTAATAATAAAATATTCAAAATGACAATATTTAGGGGAACTATGAATGAAAGTGCTGGAATATTCAAGAATGTGGCATTTATTTGCATCTAAACTAAGGTTTCTTTGTTTTTTACAATGTTGCATCACAGATGATTTGATGATACAATAGGCTGAATAGATTAAAATATATTATGAGGATTTCCCAAGTTAAATGCAAGTGAAAGAATTTCGTTTAGACATGAAACAGAACTTCCAAATAAACTTTCCAATACATGTAAACTTACTCAAATTAAAACTACTCGTTCAAAATATTTTATTTTGCCATATTTATATGCTTAAAAGATAAACAACAAATATCTAAAACATGACAGAGAAAAAAAAGTAATAAACTAATTGAAAGACCTCAAGCAATCATACGATAATTATAAGAATAAAGTTATTTGATTTATATCTCAACTTTACTTATACAATTGCAATGCTAGAAACCGGGTTTTGATACAAACCGATTGCTATAAAAATATTATTAAAATGTGGAGTTTGTATGTAGGCACAATGGAACACTCCTCAGTAAGATAAGACATGGTCTGGTTGATAGGGTGATAGGTGCTCTGAGTGTTGCAGGTTCGAATCCCCCGTTACACCAAACATGCTCGTCCTTTCAGCTGTGGGGGCTTTATAATGTGATGGTCAGTCCCACTTTTTGTTGGTTAAAGAGTAGCCCAATAGTAGACTGCAGACAGTTGTAACTATGACTTTAGCAGGCCCGTACGTATAATGTTTGAAAGGGGGTTCTAATCTGCGAGACAAGAACCAATACATATTGTGCGAAGCACGCTAATGCTACTAGGGTCTGGGGGCATGCGACTATTTCAAACCAAAAATGCTAGTGTTGCATCAGAAGAATGAAGACGATGTAGAAAATGTTAAAGCATATATATATATATATATATATATACATAAGCTTAATTATTTTAGATCACAAAAATAGGGGTTCGGCTGAACTCCCTCGAATCCCTCTGCGTGCATCATATTTGAAAGTACAAATTTGAAAATAAAGAGGTTTTTAGAAACTATCGTACAAATATTACCACTGTTAAGTAATAT